CATAAGCACCTGCCTTCCAAGAGCAAGGTTCTGAGTTTGATCCCCAGTGCCCCCCCCAAAAAAAATACATAAAAAATCACTATATATGTTATAGACATGACCATAAATCTATTAGGAATGCTATTTACAACAAAGAGGACAGAACCTAACTCTGCCAGCAAGAGGGTTGGTTAAGTAGATGATGGTACACTCCTAAATGATACTATGCAACCATATTTGTGATATGTTAGTAATGAAAACTCAGGTTATAAAATAATATGTAGATATAGTGACCATAATAAGTATTTTTTTGGCAAAACCGGAAGATTTTTTTAAACTATTACATGACCTAATATATGTTTTTGAAAAGTACATAGACTTAGAAAAATTTAATCTCCAAGGATATATTAACATGTTAATGGAATATCTCAAGATAGTGGATTACAGAATTACTTTATTTTCTAAGTTGTCTTACACTTACAATTCCAAAGGATCCTGATCCCTGCATTTCTTTGGTGAATCTCAAAAGTATTTCTAGTCACAATTGTGACATTAAAACCTATGTCTGGGGGGGGGGGGCGGAAACCTATGTCTGGATCCCAGTAGGTGGTGCATACTTGTAATTCCAGAATTAAGGCTGCACCACAGTGATCATTGTGAATTTGAGACCAGCTGGGCTACATAGTGAGTTCAAGACCAACCTGGACTATGTAGCAGGACCTTGTCTCAAAAACCAAACAACAATAGCAACAAAATCCCTATGTCTAATTTTGCTGGGAAATTCAATGGTTTCTTTTCTTTCCAATGATATGAATTTATTTTGGAGGGGGCAAATACATTTTATTGATATATTTTAGGTCATATGGAATTTGTATCTGAACATGATATGTCTTGCTGATTCTTTTTTTCCCATTCCTTTTCTCTCCCTTCAACCCCAATGATATGAATTTATTACTGTTTATTTCCATTTTGCTAAGCATCATGAAGATACTCCTTAGCCAAAAGATTGAGAAGCAATGACGATATTCCTGTGTTATTTATCCAGACTCTAGGAAGAACAATGGATCTCAAATAGTATGCTAAATTAAGTATGTATACTTTTTAAGACATAGCCAGTGGCTTTTATCAGATTCCTAATCCCTTGATTGACCCAAAAGGAGAATTCAGCAAAACCAAAAACAAATATTCACTATTGGGGTTTTGTTTGTTTGTTTGTTTTGTTTGTCTTTCCGAAATGTTTTGTTAGCAGAAGAAATTTCCAGGAAAAGATTCTATTTAACAGAGTGCTCCTTATGCTGACCTTGAAGTCATGACTTCAGCCCAGAATAGCTTGGTAGTAGTACTGGAAAGATGGCACCCACTTGTATATGTCAGACACACACAAGACTGATGTTCATCACTCAGAGCACTCTTCTCCTGATTAACTGGATTCTGTTTCAGTTAAATCAACTTCTCAATGCCTTGGATCCCCTCATCTGCTCTTGTGCTGTTTTAGCCCAGGGCCTCACACATGCTAGACAGCATTCTACCACTGCTTTGCACCTCCGCTTGTACATGATTCTCAAATGATTCCTGAGATGTTTTAAGAATCAAATTCTAAAGCTTTACTCACAGGACTTTGATTCCTTATACTAGAGGAGTTTAATTTACATTTTAACAGTTATCTTCAGTTCTCCTGATGTAGGTGATCAGTGGATTGTATTTTAAAATACACAAATATAAATTTGCTATCCATAATAACGTGCAACTTGTTTTTGGTTGTTTGTTTTTTAGTTTTTGGTGCCGAGGACCAAACCCCAGGCTTCCAGCTTGCTAGGCAATCATTCTGCCCCTGAGCTAAATCCCCAGCTCCAACATGAAAGTTTTGTATTGTTTGTTCAGAAGGAAAGGGGTTGAGAAGATTAGTTATCTACTTCTAAATACAATTAGTTCTAAAAATTTAGTAATCAGGATAAACAGTCCAGGATTTTTTTTGGGGGGTGGGTGGGTGGGTGCAGGTTCTCACTATGTAGTTCAGGTTGGCTTTGAATTCACTAAGTAGTCCTGGCTGGCCTTGAGCTCATGACAGTGCTACCTCAGCCTTCTGAATGCTGGGATTACAGCATTAAGCCACCACTGCATCCAGCAATACAGTATTATCATTAAGGCAGCCAGTAGCCCTACATTTTAGAAGGGCCAGCTAGCCTTCTTCCATCTAAGCCAGCCCACAAAATAAGATCTCCCAAAGAGCTGGCCAGATAGTTCAGTGCACTAAAGCACCTGCTTAGGCAGAACGCAGGGACTAGGGTTCAATCCCCAGCTTGACGTGCTGGCCCCACCCCTGGCGCACACTGAGAGACTGGGCGTGGTGGTGCAGGCCTGTAATCCCAGTGCTTGGGAGGCTGAAAACAAGAAAATCACTGTGAATCCGATCTGCGTAATGAGACCCTATAGCCCCTATACTAAATACATTTAAAAAAGATAAGCTCTCTCAGAAGATGTACCCATATGAAGCCCAGGCAACCCTTTCCAGATCATACTCAAGATGTTAGAATCCCCTGCCCAAATCCTGTTCTCTCTTCCAAGTCCTATATAGGCCTCCCTCATCAGAACCAGTGTGCATACTTCTGAGTCCAAAGGATGACTATGAAATAGCTCTGATTTTGCTAGGTAGTCCCTTACTTTCACCTTCCTTCCTCCAAGAAATTCCTCTCCCTTTGCCTTGTTAACAGTTCTCAAATAAAGAAGCATTATGTCATTTGATGTTGAGGAAAAGATCACTTAACCTATAATTAATTTCCACAATTACATCGGATAAGAGACTCTAGTGTTTTAATTACACTACGCTTTGTTAGAGCATAGGAAAGCCACAGCTTTTGAAACAATTGGGAAGTTGTGGTTCTTCTGCCATACTCCTCTTCTACAACAGCCAGGAAGAAGAAAGACACGTGTTCTGTAATATTTCTTCAAAGTGTCTGGGGGAAAAAAGAAAAAAAGATTAACAGACTTAATTTAACACTCAGAGCTATAAATCATGTTGTGCAATATGTTGATAGGATGTTGCATCAGAATGTAGCAGTTATAATAATGCAGTGGGTATCACAACCTCAAGGAGGTCTTTTCGTGTTCTGTGCCTTTTTCTTAAAGATTCAGCTAAGTTTAGATCTCTTCACTATTTAAAATCCCTTGTACCTCACTTTAATTTTGTTAGGTATGTGGCATTTCTTTATAGTTGAAGGTCTACATGGGTCAGACATCACTGTACCAAGCCCCAGCATCTCTCATGTTTCCCCTTATCACACGGCAGCAGGGAAATACTGAGGTTTCTTCACTTCTTCCTGGAAGCCTGTCAGGAGAGCTGGGAGGTATTATGGCAAGATGGTAATGCCTTTATTTTCAGAACCGTTAGTTTTGAAAGGGTATGTAATATTTCCTGAATGTTTCACATTGCTTTTATCTCAAGATGTGAAAGATAGTGACTAGGAATTTGTCCTTGAAAAACAAGAATGAAGGTTGGTAGTAAGAGTAAGTATAAAAGGCATAGAGAATTTTTTAGCAAGATCTTTAATATAGTCAAAATATTTTGTAATTACTGTTTTTTAGGGGTTTTTTTATTCTACTTTATTGTAGGAGAAAAATCTTGATGTTCACAAAAATGAAACAAGTGAAAAAATATAAAAAATAAAGTTTGTGGTTGTGTGTGTGTGTGTGTGTGTGTGTGTGTGTGTGTGTAACCGGGGATTGAACTCAGGTTCTTGCACTTGCCAAGCAAGCACTTATTCTACTGAGCCATCTCCCATGCCCCAAAGTTTATGTTTAAAACAGAACCTCCTGTGGAGAGGACTGGTGTCTTAATTATATGTTAGTGCAGCTGATGTTAACTGTGGTGGTGTGTGGGAGTTTGAAGGAATGCAGGCAAAAGTGTGGCAGATCATGAAAAGAAATTACCTTTAATTCTGACAAAACTGCTTTTGGAGAGTGTGGTTTAAATTTCTAATAGGGAATCATAATTTTTATTTATAATATTTTAATAATAGAGATAATTTCTAATAGGGAACTCTAGAATTAGTGAATAGACACACACATACACATACACACACACACACTGCACACTCTGTAACCACAGGTAGTGGGGTTTTTTTGTTTGTTTGTTTGTTTTTTTTGGTGGAACCGGGGATTGAACTCAGATCCTTGTGTTTGCCAGTCAAGCACTTATCCTACTGAGCCATCTCCCCGGCCCCATCACATGTAGCGTTTTACCCCCTCAGCTCTTCCCACCAGAGGTTCTGTCCCTGTAAAACTTCAGGGGAACAGTCTGATTTCCAAGAAAGGAAGTAGAAGGAAAAGAGCTAACTAATGCATGCTGTTCCTTTCTCCTGCCTAGTGAAAAAAGTCACTCCTCCCTGAGGAAAAAGGGTTAAAGAGGGGAGAAGTGTTTCTACTCTGTGAGTGATAGTGATGCAGTGAGATGTTATAGCAGAATGGAAACTGAATTTTAATGATTTGTGAGTCATCAACATTTACAGAATTATAGACATGTTCTCAAGATGTAGTGTATGTGATAGGAATACGGTCTTGAAGTTCGTATCTTTTAGAAATACAGTTGGAGTATTTACAGGTGCGCTGATAAAATGTCTGGGATTTGCCTCGAAAAGAAGGGTGTAATTATCCAAATTCTCCATGAAGTTTAAGTTGTTGAAAGTCAGGAATGACTAGATGGAGTTTATATTTTCTCTTAGAACAATTAAGGCTTAGTTTGAACACTGCTTTTAGGTGTTGGACATTAGTAAATTACCCAAGACTCCATTTCTTAATCTGTAGAATGAGAATAATTAAATCTATTGCATAGGACTGTATGATGATTCACTTAAATGAAATTATATGCCAATTATAAGATACATAGGGAGTACTCAAAAATTGGTAGTTATTATACCTGTAAAACAGAAACAGATGAAGATATCTTAACATGAAACATTTGCTTTCTTGCTTTATGTGTGTGTTTTCTCAATTTGAGTATATTAACTTGGATTTTGTTTTAACAGCTCAGGTGCCTAAAAGGCCAGAGGGGCTTCTCAGGCCAACCTCCTTTTGATGGAATCCATATTGTCAACCATTTAATAGGAGATGATGAATCATTCCATTCCTCTGATGAAGAGTTTATAGATCATTCCTTACAAGAAGGTGGCATTGGTTTTCCTTTGCACGGAAGAGCTGTCCAAGTGTCATTGGACCCTACTGAGGCAGATGGTAGTGAAAGCGAAACAGAAGACAATGTGCTGCGGACCAGAGAGAATGATGGAGCAGTTTCCAAGGAGCAGGCCCCACAGAGAGAGTCATATTCAACCACTGTCTGACCATCACTGTGACCTAGACTGTGAATTTCTTGAAGGGATCAGTTATCATATGACTAGGGGTTTTGGAACATACATGTTTCATATGTACATATATTATGTTTTACAGTCTTAATCTGCCTTTTTGTCTTTGCCAAATTCTTCACCACTGTTTTTCCATTGCCAGAAAATAAACTGCTAGAATATGGCTAATGGGTAAAATAAGGTTTTAACAGTATTACTGAATATTAATGTTTCTTGTTTATATAAAATACAGCTATAGCTAAACATCAGAGCCATTTTCAAGTTCAAAACTATGGAAAATTTAATTTTCTTCAGACAAACTGCTCTTGTGCAATATTTTATGCTCTGTGAACAAATTGTATATTTATGTCTATCAATTTGTGTTCAAGGTGGCAGTTGACAGATATTTGACCAAGATAGATATTTGATTTTCTTGTTTTTGTTTTTTGTGTATGTGTGTTTGGAAGATATTTTTTCACTAAAATTACTATTTTATCAGTGGGCCGCTCAAGATTCCCAAACACAAAGCTTTTTTTCTGTATAATTTTATAAATACAACCTAACTTATCTATTTTGAGAGGTTTTTTTTTTTAATTTCTAATTTTGTGTGTGTCTAATGCTTCCATATGTTGGTTACTGGTCAGTTATAGGTTAACTGCAAATATATAATTTGTATATATTTATATATCTGCACTACCCAACATTGAACATCATTTTTTATGAGGAATATATATTTGCAAAATGACTGCTTGCAGGATTGTAGCAGGATGTCTGTAAATAATAGATTTTAAAAAACTTTAAAAATCTAACACTAATATTTTAATAGCTTTACTATTTTGCTTAGCATTCAACACTACCTGATTCATAACCTGTTCAAAAACACTGTTGATGATATCATACTTCATGTATGTGCAGTCAATACAGTTTTCATGATTAAAGAGATTATAGCACATTAATTAGTGCTAATATTTTACTTACTGTAATTTAAACAATGGGCTAAAGGTTCAAGATGCACAGCATTGGGGCTAGGGAGATGGCTCAGTGGAATAAACACTTCCCTGGCAAGCACCAGGGCCTGAGTTCAATCCCTGGTTCCGCCAAAAAAAAAAAAAAAAAAAAGATGCACAGCATTTATATCTGCAAATCTATGACATTATCTTCAGATTGTCTAGTTTCTAGCAATAGATAAAGCCATACGAATCCTAGCCGGGGAGATAGCTCAGTAGAATAAATGCTTGCCTGGCAAGTACAAGGTTCTGAGTTCGGTAACCCCGGTAACCACTCCCCCCAAAAAAAAATAGAATCCTTCTAAATTCTTTTGTATCATTTAAACCTTTTTCTTAGAAAAAAACTAAATGCCTGTTATTGATAAATTGGTGGAAACAACCAATTTCACTTATTCTATGGAAAGACAAACAATGTATTGACTGGATACTTTCCACTCTCATTTTCATTAGCTTGTAAAAAGAACAGCCTTAGACAAAAAGAGGAGAGTAAAATTTAGTTTGTATGAAAGTACAATTTTGTAGAATATTATGTATGTGACAGCATGCATGAAACAGTTATGATAGACTAGAGAAGAGATAAAAGTAGTTTTCTATGTAAAACCAGAAGTTAAGCCTTATGCAGCAAAATGGATTGCTTCTCCAGCAAAGCCTACATAGCTATTTTTCTGCCTGATAAATGAGATTGAAAACATGCCTTCTATGTTTAAATTCTAATGTTTGAGTTCTAGTGGTTAAATTCTACTGGTTAAGTAATTTACCTGTGATGACAAGTTAATAATTAGCAGAGCCAAGATTTTAATCCAGATCTCCCTGACACCAAAGCTTTTTAAAAGGTCCAGGTAATGACTTTCTCAAATTGCCTGCTCTTCTCACAATATGTCTTAAATAAATTTGATTTAAATGTATTTCCTGAATATCTGTATTCATAAGCTCTACACAACTTACAAATATAGATTCTCCTCCTAGAATTGATACCACTTTCTAGAACCATAGTACTTTGAGTATTCTCCTTTGAAGCTCTTAGTGTCAGCCTAGAAGGCTTTCAATGCCCAAGTAAAGTAAGATGGATCATGGCCTATTAGTGTCTTAATCCCTACATCAGGAAATCTAGGGGCTGGGGAGATGGCTCAGTGGAATAAGCGCTTCCCTGGCAAGCGCAAGGGCCTGAGTTCAATCTCCAGTTCTGCCAAAAAAAAAAAAAAGAAATCTGCATGGGGCTGGAGATGTAACTCAGTGGTAGAGCACTTGTCTGTCATGTACACAATGCTATGTTTGGCCCTCAGTACTACAATAAATTAATCAAATCTAAGTGATCTGTACAGGAATCTGCAAATTGCAGCCGAAAGTTAATTCCAGTTAGCTGCATGCTTTTACTCTTTTAAACATTTTAAGAAAAAAAAAAAACCTCAGTATTTTGTGACACACAAAACTTGTATGAAATTCAAATTTCAGTGTCCTTAAAGTTTCATTGGAACTCACCTATGCTTATCTGTTTACCATATGTTGTAGCTAATTTTATACTATAATAACAAAGGTTGAGTAGTTGCAGTGGAGGCCATTTGGCCTATGTAGTATAAATATTTACTCTGGCCCTTGACAGAAAAGGTTTGGTAACCCTTGGTGTAGATACTCCAAAATGTATACTCCAAACTTCAGTTTGTAGATACTCCAAACTTCAGTTGAGCTTTATAGAAAAATCAAGGAAATTACTTGCCATTGAGCTAATAATTTGAAATATTAAAATTCCCTCATGGACCATACACTGCAGAACAATTTCAGATGGAAAGCATGCCAACTGCTTTATATGCAGCTCTGTATTCTTCATTTTATGGTGTTGGAAGTTGAACCCAGAGCCTCATACATGGTAGGAAAACACTCTGTCTTTGGCCTACATCCCCAGCCCAGCTATTTTATATGATAAAGGCTTTGATTTTATTAAAAAATAATCTTAGATGTGGGACTGTCTTGCTTCAAGGTTGTATATGGTGAGATTTTTGGACTTATATGTAAACATAAGCAGTATATAATTCTTTATGCCTATTTTTAAAAAAAAATCCAAATTTTAAAAGGCTTTTATCATATTCTGTAGGGACTTAAAGTTCAACATATCAATACTCGATGAAAAATACCTGTTCCATATTATGCCTAAGATGTTTGATATGCAGACAGATAGTGACATTAAGTTTAACAGCCCAAGTTGTATGGTAATAACAATAAACTTGTCTTCTGGAGGGTTAACAACCTAAGTTTGCAGACCAAAATTAGAGAAAAAGGAGGGCTGCAAGGAAAGCCAACATTTTGGCCCTAGCCTTCCAAGGTCAATTAAGACTCAGGACATATGAGAACCTGTACTGTAACATCATGTAACTCAGTAGTGTCCCAAATTTTCTGATCAAGGAGATTATGGGGCCAAAGGGGAAAGTGATTGATGATGTAGAGTGTGCCTAAGGAGAGTCACTTGTAGAGCAAACATTCTCTCAGGCTTTCACAGAGAGCACATTGGCCAAGCAATGGCTGTGACTCATCCACATGGCTGACACTGACAAAGGTTCTACAATCTGAGGTACAGGATCTCAGGATAAATCCTGAGGGGATTTCGCTGACCTTATCAGACCCAAAAGCTACAACTCTTGTTGCATAGGTTCCGCTTTATGTTGGTCTTAACCATCCAGCAGAAAAGTATAAAAATGAAAAATAAGACGTAAAGCCATGCTGTTATGTTGAGCTATAGGGGACTCAGGTCAACAATTTCTGACATTGCCAGTCAAGCGGAAGACCCAATACTATTATGGGCTACTGGACTCTTTAAGAATATTTTGCCAAGTTAACACACCTATAATATTCAAATAACGGAACTTAACAAAAAAAGGGGATGCAGATGAATGTCCATTTTGTATCTGTGTATTCAGAGTGGTTAGGATAGATACATAGTTACATTCTCTTAATGAATAGAGTGATTTGTTCTAATGGTGTTTGTAAATAGGATATCATGTCCACATCTTGTACAGCAATTAACCACTAGGAACAATGTATGCAATGTGTGAATTATTGAAACTGTCCTACCAATTTGGAAAAAAAAATAATAATAATAATCTTAGAAGGATATCTGTATTTTTGGAGGAGCAAAAAAAAATGAATTCTAGAATCCTGACAGTGTTTTTTTAAAAGATGAATTACTGATCTTATCTTTAGTATATGTTTCATTCAGTAAATGTTCACTTAAGAACATATTTCTAGAATCACACTTGAATTCTGAATTTTGAAAGATACTCCTAGAGAATTTCCTAAGTATTCTTTTTTTTTTTTTTCTTTTCTTTGTCTTTTTGAGATAGGGTCTCACTACGCAGTTCAGGCTGGCCTTGAGCTCCCTGAATAGCCCAGGCTGGTCTCAAACTCCTGCCTCAGCCTCCTAGTGCTGGGCTTACATGTGTGCACCACCATGCCTGGCTGTCCTAAGTATTCTTTTTAGTTAGGAATTGAGTATTAAAAGAATCATGATAAGTAAACCTTAATTTGTTGATATTCTTATAATTTGAACAATAAAAAACTAGAAGCAACATTTCTCATTCAAATCATTTAAACTAGGCACAGTACCATGTACCTTTATCTCTCTGCTGTTAGGAGGCTGAGGTAAGAAGGTCATTTAAATCCCAGGATTCAAGACTGTCCTGGGCAACATGATGAGACCACATTTCAAAATGTACTTTAGAAGAATTTTAAATCTTCCTGACCTTTAGAATACAAATGCCCTGGTTTGACTCCATTTTGTTCAAGTTAATATGAGTATGTCTTTCAAGATTTTGAGGACATTAGATTGTGTTCTAATATATTTTGATCTCTGAATTTTTTTGTTTCATTTAAATGTCATTCACCTAGACACAGTATTGGAAAGTATTATGGGGAAAAGTGAGTGAAATGACAATAGAAAAACTTGTTCACTTAGAATAGTTTACCTCCCTGGTTGTTATTGCTACCCTAGGTTGATACACTGAGTAGAAACCACAAGTGATCTGAATTAAGTGGAAATTGCATTGAAGTAATCAGTGTTCAAGAAAGGAAACAGACTTGTAAAATACTGATGGCAAGCTTTTTTTCTTGGAAAAAGGGTCAGAAGTACAATGTTACATAATTTCTACTTTATTATTGTGGTTGTTGTTTTTTTTCTTGTTTGCTATAGTAGCCATGTATTATTCACTGACAAGACATCAAGTTCCAACTAACTAGCCCGTTGCTTTTCCTTAGCTCTGAACATGATGTAGTTTGTTACTCTCCAGATAGTGCCTTTGATTGAAAATAAGGTCTAGACATTTTGGAGTATATTATTTCTGACATCATAAGAAATCAGAAATCATTTGATCCCTAATTAGTTGTTTATATAATACACTATAACATTCAAATTTAAAGTAAAATAAGTATATGAATTCTTTTGGTACAGTTCTTTCATGATGAGCTTGACTATTGTAGCATACCAGACATTGACAGATAACATTTTGTGAAATCTGATTTACTTATTAAAACAGTGAGTCTTAGCTTGAAAGTTTTGCTGCTTTACATTAGCAAAATATTTTTTAAATAATTCATTTTTATTTAATTATACTGAAATCATAGAAATTAAAATTTCTAGTTAAAAGTAGAGTGAATGCTATTTATAATCCAGGTTTTTATATCACATCCATTGATCTACATCCCTTCTTTTCACTCCAAAGAAGAGATGCTAGAATAATATATTCAGTATACTACAGAGATGCAAAGTTATAATGTATTTCATTTTGCTGTTGGAATTTTTTATTATAACATTGTATGATAACCTGAAATGTTTACTTGTGCCTTTGCTTTAAACAATTAAAGTTTTCCTTTTTATAAAAATTTGATTCCTTAAACTGCTCAACTTTAAAAGTAGGGGCAAGACTTTAAAACACTGTTAAAGAATGTTTAGGCTATCAGGAGATTTGTCTTAGGGAAGTTTTTGCTGTGTAAGTGCAGGGACTAACCCACCTACCTG